CCTAAAGCCTGGAATACAGCAAGCAGCAGTAATCTCTCTTCACTGCATTTTCCAAATTGGAGACATCCTTTTTGCACGGGCAAATCAGGCAGTTTGTGATTTTCTACCTAACTCTCTCCACGATGTGCATATTTGCAGATCAGACTCAGAATTTTCGGGGGCCCTGATGCCAATTACCGGAGCCTTTTGGGAAATCAGCCCTGGATGCCTGCACCCCTTGGCACACACTGCAGGTGAGGGCAGCAGAGCTGCTCCCATCACCATGGGGACAGTGGTGCATGCCCCGATCTGACTTTGGTTTATTCTCCTGCCAAGGTGGCACTTCGGTCACTTTGCTGCATATATCCCAGAAAGGCAGAGCACAATTTCCAGCCGACAGGTAAAATATGCTGCTCATGTTGTGCTTAAGAAAAGTCACCCCTTGCATTTCCAGGACATCCCCTTTTCCAGTTTAAACATGTACAGGCAGAGGAAGGCGCCCAGGCATCTGTGTGGGGCCACGACACGACCATGGGTTTGGTTTCCCAGCCACTCTTGCTCAGGCATCAATGTGGCTGCAAAGGCTCTGGGCAGAAAGGAGAGGATGGCCCTAATGTCGTGTCGGGGGTGAACATTTTGGCTATTTTTTATCCATAGGTGGCAGCAGCTGCTTGCGCTGGGCGGACGCTGCCCCAATCCCAAACCTTGCACTGAGCAACACAGCCGGGAAAATGCAGCGCAGGAGGAGTAGGAGGGCAGAGCCTGAGCACAGGTCGTGCCTGCTCCCTCCTCCGCAGCGAGAGGTCCTCAACAGAGGGAGAATTAAGCAAAACCCTCAGCGGTGCAGGATCAGGCCCTGTAGCACTATAACAGAGCTCAGGTCTGCATTTTTGCTGTGCTTGGGAGTGAGCGCTGCCTTCTTACCCGGGAGGAAAATTGCTGCCTGCTCCAGTGCAGGGTGGTGGGGAAGGGGCTGCTGGGTGACTTTCTCACCATTGACCAAATTCCTGAAGCCACTGGGATGTCACATCCCCAGACGGAATCTGGCAGCAGCATTAAGCCTCATTGGCTGGGCATTGGGGTGTCCCTTTGTTCCCAGCATTAGCTAACACCCGTCTGTGATGTCCCACGAGTGCTGGTGGTGTCCAGAGGCAGCAGCTCCTTCAGCTCCGCAACCTTTGCTGGCTTCCAGATGTTTCTGCCAAGTACAAAATGTGACACGAAAGGCGATTTCCCAACAGCACACACAACCAGCAGATAACAACAGCCAGTTGCCAGCTGTAACATGGAGCCCAGAAACCCAGATGTAAAAAAAAAAGGAAAACACAGAAACCTTGCTCAAAAGCAAACTGTAAGGAGACTCGCAGTCAGCTCAGAGGCTGTAATTAGAGGAAAATCGAAGAGAAAATCTATCCAAATCTTGTCATCTGCTTGCTTTTAAAACTGCTGATTCTTGATCAATACAAATGAAATGTATCTTCCTCTCTTCAACACACCCAGGACAGGCTTTGTCCTGGGAAACCAGACTGGATGCTCCATCGATCCCCCCTGGCTGCTCTGTCCCGCCGGCGCTGCTCCCGCTGCATCATTAAGGCGAAGTGGATTTGGCTTTGGGATGAAGAGCAGAGCAAGGCACGTTTTGCTGGAGGCTGTAATTCATCCGCGCGGGGAGACTGATCTCCCCTGAACCAGCGAAGCCCCGATTCATCCCCCATTGCCATGGGTGCAGCACCGCGCCCCCGGTGCTATCTGCTTAATGAGCTGATCCTTTAAAAAGCAGTCCCAAACGTGGGTGTAAGTGGTGTCGTTGCACAAAGGGACTAGGAAGTGTTTGTTCATCTCTGCTCTATCATTAATTAAAGCAATTAGCCCACTCAGGCTCGGTGGGGTACAAAGCCATCCTGTACCCGCTGAGAATATACTCCATTATAGAATATACTCTCTATATCAATATACTCTTATTGCTCTGTAGATCATTAGAGGGACTTAGGGTGCAGGGATACATCTCTCAGGAAGGATTTGAGGAGGAACCTGAGAAATTACACCAGCTTCACTAAAACAAAAGTGACTTTCCAGACCTGAAGCACACAATTTTTAGCCTTTCTATCTTTCCCTTCTGGGTCAGGAAAATCTTCCGAGCCTGTGCCCTAGAGCTCTCCGTGCTTTGCAGCCAGCGCGGCTGGGAGCGAATGCTCCCAGCAGGGCTGGCCTGGGGGGCCCAGGGCCCCCCAAATCAAACCACTGATCAAACCTGATCAAGAGGCACAAAAGCGAAGCCTAATGCTGGGCATGAAAACAACCACGTGGCTGTTTAAACTGCCAGTTGGTATTTGTATATTCAAAGTCCATCACAGCCTTTAGCCAACCCCTTCCCTGGAAAGCACTGAGCCAGTATCATCAATGGGGAAACTGAGGCACAGCTGGAGCAACTTGGTCCCAAGCTGTATCACGCATGCTCTTGTGTTGGTCCTTAAACCTCTGCAGTAGACTTTGAAAATAAACGATTTATTTACAGCCTTGTGGTGCCAAGGCTTTCCCCGAAGCTGTCCCGGATGATTTCCTGGGAGCGTGCATACGGGCTGTGCACGGGGGAAGGCGCTCATCCCAGTGGTGATGGCAGGAGCATTGCCTCGGTGCCGCGGGCCAGGCGGGGGGATCTGAGGACATGGGTCACCCAGGGTGTCCCCATGCCGGGGGGCCTTGCCCCGCTGAGAAACACAGCCCCAAGGGCAGCTTGGCCCTTTCGCAGCCCCACGATCTCTGCGGGGAGATCGATGTCCTCCTGGAGCAACCCAGCGCTGCCTCCTCTGGAGCTGGCTGCTCGCCCCCCCCGGGGCTTAACGAATAACTCCGGCTTAATAACAACAGTCACAGACTGGGGGAGGAATGAACCTCATTGCACGGAGGGTTTGTACCAGAACCGCCCCAGGCTGGGAAATGGGCTCCCTTCTGCCTCCAAACCCTAAAATGGCTAAAGCATCACCCCCAAAAAACGCTGTTTCCCGCAGCTGCACCCAAACTGCAAGATTTTATCGCAAACCCTCAGCGTGCCGGGCTGCAGCACTCTGCAGTATTGCTGAATTTGGGAGAGAGAATAAATGACTACCCCTTTAGCCACAGCAAACATCACACTGCCTTCGTGGAGGTACCGCGAGGCCCTTGCGCCTCTCCAGAGCGCAGTTTTGACGCTTCAAGTGGATTCGCTTTGTGTTCTCAACCCCACTTCCAGTCCACGCAGAAAGCGGTTTTCTGCGAAGTATCTGTTTTCCTCTTACGTAGACGGGGCATCGCCTTGGCTCTCCGGGACTCGTACCCGGCGACACCGGCGGTTTGTTTAACAGCATCTATACGGTACGTTATACCGGTACCCGGGTACGGAGGAGCTGTATTTCGGTGTGGGTTGTACTCACGCCCTGCCGCAGGCTTTCTCCTCTGAAATAAAGCCTTCCACACCCCCCACGTCCCCCACCCGCCACACGCGCCC